CACGGGCTGCTGCGGCGCGGGTGGAAGAGCCCCTCGCCGCTGCAGGGTCTGGGGTGCTGGGCTGCCGGTTGGTGCCGTTAGGGCCGCCCGGCCTTTTCTGTCGCCTCGGCTCCCGTGCAGGAGCTTCCTTGCGCGGCGCGGTGACCGTTGCCCTCGGGCAGCTGCCGGGCGGAGCGTAGCGCTTGCAGAGGTGGGGAGCGCAGCTTTTCTCGCAGTACCGCATCGCTGCGACGCGTTTACGATTTCTTTGTTGGAACAGGCAGGGAAGTTCGTGCTGCTGTTCTCTGTGGAGCAGTTCTAAACTTGAGCCTTCTTGAAAAAGTTGTGTTTTCTACCCCGGGTTTGCTGCTGAGGGTCTGCTTCGCCGCAGCTTTTCATGGTCAGCTCTAAGAAACTTAAAAAGGCACCACTAAAAAGCCTCCTCCAACAGCCCATCTGTGATTCAGCACTTCCTTCAGCGTTTTATTTCTGCTGCCATCCAAGTCATCTTTCAACTCTTTTACCCCAGCTGGATTCACCTAGGAGCCCCTTAAAACATTTCACGTCACCTTGCCTTCAGCATTACAAAGTGGGTGGTGGGTTTAACATACTTGAAATTTGACTGTTTCATGGGAGGAAATACCACCTTCTTCTTCCTTAGCTTCCTTTGCTAGTAATTTATCTCCTCATTGTGTTCTCTTTGACCTTCCTCTCCTCCTTGCTACCCCACTAAGATGCTCTCAGTAAGCATCTAAACATCCGTTCTTCCTCTTGGCCTTTCTGGCAGCGGAGGTGGTCTGACTCTTTGCTTCTGCCAAAAGGGGAAGGTTCTGCTCCCTCTTTGCTTCCATTCTGCTGCACAGTCATATTCTTATTTGTGCTCTCTCCTCTCTTTGGTTTGAATAAGTTTAACTGGATCACAGAGGGATCTGATAAGCTTCAGAACTGGTGTGAAGGTCTTGTTCTGTAAGGAGGAGGGGAGAGCTGAGGAAAGTGGACCTTTCCCCTTGCAACAACAGATGGTTGTCTTATATAGACTTTCATGCACAACCCTGTAGTTTTCCGGACAGTTTTCAGTACAGCTTTTGGGCATTTCTGGGGTACAACATCCTCCTGCTTGAAAATGCTTTGGTTTTTTTGGCTCCCATTTGCTTTTCCTTCTAACTTACCTAGTTGCTTTTCTTCTGTTTGTGACTGCAGCTTGGCATCTTCCCATCATCTTCGAAAGTGCTAAGGTAGATACTTAAACTGCTGCCTGTAGTTGTCACACGCTCAAGAATTTTCTGACCTGATGTGTCACATTCACCTGTGGTGTCTTAGAGCGTGAACTCTTGAGATAATGGTCTTTCTCTGCTTTTGTACAGTCACTAACACAAGGGAAATTTAATCTTTGTATATATTTCCTGTTAGTATTGTACCTGGTTATGTTCAAGGCCAGGCTGGATCAGGCTTTGAGCAACCTGGTCTAGTGGAAGGTGCAGGGGGGTTGGAACGAGATGGTCTTTAAGGTCCCTTCCAACCCAAACCATTCTGTGATTGCCTCGTCTTTCTTTTACTAGTATTTATTTATTTATTTCTGAAGCATTTGTCTCTACCTTTTTCTCCCTTCACTCTGTTAATTGTGGAATTAGCTTATGTCAATATCACTTCCTTATCATACTACTTTGACTTACGACCTGTAGGTATGTGGCTTGTGGAATATCTTACCTTTTTCTTTTTGGTATCAATTACTGTAAAGTCTGAAGTCCTCCTGAAACAAATTCTGCCAGCTGTTAGCAATCACTAGACCTCATTCCTATTTTCGTTCTTCTTTCAAGGCAAATATGTTTGATCTTCCTTGCCCAGCTTTCCAGGTATTCTTTGTCTGTAAATCACGTTCTTCTGTTACCTTTGCCACTTCTGGGATCAGGTTGCTCTTGATGCACAGTGGAGTCATCCATAATGATTCCTGCATTTTTGTCTTTGGAAGTCTCAAATTCCATGTGCTCTCGGGAAGAAATACAGTCTTTGTGACACACCAATTTTTCTCTTTGCTCTATTCAAAACTACATTTAATTGTCTTTTTTCTTGCATTCTCTTAAATCATTATGCTCTTTTTCAGTCTTCAGGGGAGTAGACAGGGCGTGGAAGGCCTGACAACCCAGTCTTCTGGCTGAACATGGGTAATCACAGTTTGACCACATTGCTTAATTTGTATTTATTCTTTTAACCTCTCTGCAAAATAGCTGTGACATTAAGTCCATCTCCTTAGGTGTTCCTTGAAACCTGACTACCTTTTGTATAAGTGCTCTGAGAGCAGCTGAAATGCAAATCATTATTGGTTTGTTCTGCTTTACCTGCCTTTTCTGTGTGGCTGTTTGCAACTCCAGATCGTGGTTTGAGAATCACAGAACGGTTTGGGTTGGAAGGGACCTGAAAGCCCATCTAGTTCCACCCCCACTGCCATGGGCAGGGACACCTTCCACTAGACCAGGTTGCTCAAAGCCTCATCCAGCCTGGCCTTGAACACTTCCAGGGATGGGGCATCCACAGCTTCTCTGAGCAACCTGTTCCAGTGCCTCACCACCCTCTCTGTGAAGATTTCTTCCTGATATCTAGTGTGAACCTCCCCACTTTCAATTTAAACCTGTTACCCCTTGTCCTGTCACTACAGGCCCTTGTAAAAAGTCCCCTCCAGCTTCCTTGTCGGCCCCTTCAGGTACTGGAAGGGGCTATAAGGTCTCCCCAGAGCCTTCTCTTCTCCAGGCTGAACAAGCCCAACTCTCTCAGCCTGTCCCCATAGCAGAGGTGCTCCAGCCCTCTGAGCATCTTTGTGGCCTCCTCTGGACTCGCTCCAACCTGTCTGTATCCTTCTGATGTTGAGGGGTCCACAGCTGGATGCAGCACTCCAGGTGGGGTCTCACCAGAGCAGAGTACAGGGGCAGAATCCCCTCCCTCGACCTGCTGGCCACACTTCTCTGGATACAGCCCAGCATACGGTTGGCTTTCTGGGCTGCCAGCACACACTGCCGGCTCATGTCCAGCTTTTCATCCACCAGTACCCCCGAGTCCTCCTTCTCAGGGCCACAACGTTGAGGCATTCAGTACTGCCTTTACCTTACAGAGGCTGTTAACATGGTTCTCCCACATTGTGTTGGTGTGTAACGAAATCTAGTGTTGACTTCTCCAGAAATATCAAATGCACTTCTAGTCTTAAAGAAACATCAGATATTTTAATAAAATGTGCTCTACCATAGAAGGTGTGTATGTTGTGGACATTCACGTGTTTGCCTCTGTTCTTGTGTTTCCTGTAAAAACTGTGAGCTTTAATTCTGTAGATTAGAAAAGTGAACCAAGAAACCACAGTACTTGTCCTGGCAGGCCAGGAACTGAGGAATTCTGAGAACTTGGGAATACGGAAATGGTCTTTCTTGACTGGATCTTCCACAAGGCTGTAGTCTTCTGTGTCTGCTGCACTTGAATATTTAAAATGTTCTTCTCTCCCTGGTACCGTGGCAAGTTTTACTCTGTTGTGGATCTTGGGTGCTTTGGCCTTGCTCTTTTCCTTCCGTTTCTTTCATCTACAGACAGTAGTGAAGTACCTTTGTATTTTGCAAGTTGCTGGGTACAAATGTTAAGTGCCTCATCTCTTCTGCAGGTGCTGTTCTTTGGATTTGGGTGGCTGTTCTTCATGCGTAAGCTCTTCAAGGATTATGAGGTGAGAAGGAGCCTTTCATTACAATTCTACATCTTAAAAATTGCTCCCAAGTATAGTAATATTTTTGAAACTGCATTTGGCCTTTTTCCTCTCTTTATGCTCTCTTATTTTTCATTGTCTCTACTGTTACTTTCTTTTTAAATTCCTCTTGTGCTTCTATTTAAGACTCCTAGGTATCTGAGGTCATGGGTACTTCTGGAGGTAGTGAGAGTTTCCATACTGGCTACTGTTAAAAGAACAAAGAGGGAGGAGGTGCAGGGGTCATAGGGAACTCTTTCGCCTTTTTCTTGAGTGAGCCTGCCTTACGTAACTATAAAATTTCTGTGACAAAATCACATTCAGTGGTTAACTTGAAACTCGGTGAGGTGTGTTCGTTGTGGCTGAACTGTTTGTGAGGATTGGATGGGATGAAACTGTTGCAGTATCTAAGAGAACATTGTCCAGCTCAGAGGTGCCCTAAGTGTGAGCCAAACTGAGACCCAGAAAGTTTTTCTGATACAGATATCACCTTTAAATTGAAGGTTAAGATCAAAGAGGTCTGTCAGCAAGGGTCTGTCATCAGTCGGGCTGACAGAGGGCATCGCGTGCTTGACGTCCCTTCTGTGTAAGGCATCTCTCTTCAGTGTGCTGGTCACTGCGGTCGGTGTAGTACTGAGCAGCTTACGAGTGCCCTCTGCTTTCTAACGGGCTGTTGGTGTCCTCCCTTTCGGATAAAGGGCAAGGTGCCTGGAAGCAAGAGGCCTGGTTGCGTGCCATTGTACCTTGTGATTTGGTTTTTATTACCTGAGGGCTATCAGGATGCCATTCTAGGGATGGAAATGCCTGATGTCTCTGGCCTGTTTTCTTCATTGCAGGTGCGACAGTACGTGGTCCAGGTGATCTTCTCTGTGACTTTTGCCTTCTCTTGTACCATGTTTGAACTCATCATCTTTGAGATTTTGGGGGTCCTGAACAGCAGGTGAGTCTGGGAGCTCACTCATGGACTGGCCTGCCTTGTGTTCAGCAGCTTCAGTCCAACTTACGAATGAATGGATTTGTCTTGGGTTGGGGAAATGATGTGGGTAAGTTGTCAACAGCTCAACAAAGATGTGTGAGTGGCAGGGTTTGTTCATTCGCGAGAGCGGGAAACTAGAAGCCATAAGGTGCTGATTTTCCGTGCAGTTGCAATGAGTGTGGACTAGGTCTTTAGGGCAAGACTTTAGTCTTTTGACTTTCTCCACTTGTGAAGTTAAACGGTTTCTTTTATGGGGAGAGTTGTGAAGCTTCAGATCACGGGGAAGAGCACTTTTCAGATGTTAAGGACTGTAGATACTATGCACACTATTTTTTAAGTGGTGGTCAGAGCAGGGAATGAGATGTGCAGCTAACTATGGAGTGAAAACTACTTCTGGGATAGTACTGTGTTTGTGAATCAAAGGCGCATCCTCCCTTGACACAGGGTGAGGACTTTTACACAAAGGGGATGTTAAAAATGGTCTACTTCAGAAGTCAGTAGGAAAGAGAAGATAGAACAGTAACACGTAGAGGCTAGCTGGGCTTCCTATTTATCCTCTCTCATCGTACTAGTGGAAGAGAGCAGTCAAAGGAGTTAAAAGGCAAGAAATACAAAACTGATAAAAGGTAATGTTAGTTCTGACTGCATGTCCTTAATCGGTAGAGCTTGCAGCCAGAGAGATCACGGAGGGGAATGCTTTTATAAGCTTCAGAAAAGGGCTGGACATGAATATATATGAAAATGTTTTCCTCTGAATTAGCTAGGTAAAGGTGACAAGGATCTTCATAATTTCTCCTTCCCCCAGGCATGGGTGAGAGGCTGTGAGTTACTATTGGGAACAGGATATGTGTTTTTCTGCTCAAACTAAGTGAAAAGTTGGTTCAGCCGAGATTCATCTCATCTGTATTTGACTAATCTCTGACCAGAGAGTACTGATCAGTTTGCTGTAAACGTGTCTTTTTAAATTCTTGCTTTGCAAGGTCCTGCACATGAGACTTTGAAGTGAAATGTGGTGAATTACGAACATTAAATAATTTCAATCCTTTCAATTAGCCCTTTTTTGACTCAGCCACTCATGACGAAATTAACTGCTGCTTATACTTAGTTTTCATTTACCGTTCAACTAGATGAGCAGAAATCAAATGCATCGTGCTGCAGCCAGCGTTAGTCACCGTAGAAAATACAGTATTTGATAAAACAGCCCAGTGTGTGTTTTCTGGATAGCTGTTAATTCTGAAATACACATTCTTGAGCTCTGTATTAATAACAAAACGAAGCCAGAGCAGACAACCCCCTGCAGCCCTAACAAGCAAAATCCCGAATATTCTATGCGCTGGGCCAATACTATCTCATGTTTGGTGTAGCTGAAAGGATTGCAGTGATGTGCGATTGCCTTTGAGAAATCTGTTGTGTTATGGTAGCGTGCTAATCAGTATTTTGGCTTTCTTTTAGCTCTCGATATTTTCACTGGAAGCTGAACCTGTGTGTCATTTTGCTCATCCTAGTCTTCATGGTACCCTTCTACATTGGTTACTTTGTTGTGAGCAATATCAGACTGTGTGAGTACTGGGTTTACGGCAGTGGGGCTGCTGGCTTGAGGCCACATACAAATGAGAAAGAACTTTTCTGAGAGAGGGAGAGATTTGTTGGTCACTATCCCTCTCGCTCCCTCCTTCCTTCCTCTGGCTTTGTTCTGGCTAGATAACTCCTCTCTGGAACTTAATGCTGCAGCATGAACTGTTTATTGAGCAGCTGGTTAGCGGGTACTTTACCTGACCCCAAACAATGCAGCTATTCTTTATGGGTTTCAGCGAAGTTGAGCGCTTTAGAGCCACGCTACTGGAATTTGTTCCTTTACAATTTTAAGCTTGCAGCCAGACCCTGGCACCCTTGGCAAGACTGTTTTGATCTGCTAGGGAGTAAAAGAAATGGGCTGGAGAAGCTGAATAAACTACTCTTGAGGCAGAAAAGCTCAAGAAACTACTTCTGCTTTTTTTGCTTACTGCTGTCTGGATGAGGCCTCTTCTGTGTGCTGATGGACATTTACCCTTGAGCTATTGATATTCATTTCTCTTTTGTATTAAGTTGAGGTGTGTAGGTTGGAAAAGCTCTAAAGGAAGAACTTCTTTAATATACTCTTGTGTTTGTTTTTTCTTCTCTCCATTAGTGCACAGACAGAAACTGCTTTTTGCATGTGTTCTGTGGTTGACGTTCATGTATTTCTTCTGGAAGTTGGGGGATCCATTTCCTATCCTCAGCCCAAAACATGGTGAGTTTCATATTCTTGCCCATCCCTTCCTTCCTGAAAATAGGCTTGGTTATCTTACTTTTATCTTGAAGCCATTATTAATTTTATCTCAGCTCTGCAGTTGGGACTGTAGAAAGTCGTTCTTGCAGCTGAGGGTCTGCTGTGCTTTGAAATCTGCAATCTGAAGGTTGTCAGGCTGACAGAAATGGGTGGATATACCTTGAATTATTTGCATTAGTTTTCTTCCAGTACCAGAGGAAAACTTTAGGGAAATTAATGAGTCCTAACTGAACCTAGGGTATGTAAGAACACAGTGTACTTTTTGAGGACTTTCATCTCCACAAAAAGTTGATCACAATCTTTTCTAACTTGTTTCTTTTCTTGTGGAGACTAAAAATTCAAGTGAGAACTGGCAACCAGTCCTGCATCTGACCTTTTTTTGGTCAGGTTATTGTTTCTTGTAACTGAAATCAGATCAGTTTAACGTAGGTGGCTGTCCAGTTGACAAAACGTGGTAGGGTGCCTGAACACCAGCGTTACACAGACTGCAGCCAGCAGCGTGCCTGGTGGTGCGCGCTGGCTTTGGAAGAGCTTTGTACGCTGCCTGGACCCAGGGGCGGTTGCGTGGTACTAGGGTTGTGGGTCATGGAACCAAGAGTGTTTTTATCTGTAGTGTGAAGGTACCATGTGCCCCTGGGCTAGTCTGAGTCCGACGGAGATTGTCAGCGTGTGGCTAACTGTGCCAAATCCTTCAAGCGCCCAAGTGTGCCAAAGGATTAGAACACTGTAGAGCCAGACTGCTTTGTCACCTGGGTTTCCTGTGTAATTTGTGTCACCTTTATCACCTGGAAAATTGTTTGTGTATTTTTTTCAGCAGGTGATGTTCAGTCAGTTTCCGTCTAATTGGTGAATATGTCTGTCTGCATAGATAACCACCAGCTTAATCTCTCTGTTCTCAAGGAGGCTACTTTGCTCTCTACTAATCTGTGAGGGAAAAGCTGAAGGATACCAACTGCTGTAGGCTCTGCTCACTCTTTCATCTGTGATCCTAAAACTTTCCTAAGAGAAAGCATGTATCTGTTTCGTAATTGTGGTGTTTGCCACTGAAACACAATAGCTACTATATGGTGCAGATCCCTCTGCCCACTGTTTCATTGCCAAGGAAAACCTGTATCCACTTTGAGTCGCAGAAGGCACTTGAGTTGGCAGAATATAATAACCCAGTGAGAATTTAGCTTTGGGGTTTAGGTAATCCTCCCCAGATCACTGAAAAGGTCCTGTGAAGCTGCGCAACAACTGCAGGTTTCCAGAACTGGCTGTGGGGTGTGTTCTGTTTTTACCTTCTGCTGTACAGGGTGATGCCTCCACTGAACAGTTGTACAGTGCCTTTTCCTACCAGGTGTAGATGTAAGGTCAGAGCAAAGGATTCTAGGCTTTTGTTTCTTTGCTGTGCTGCTGTCCTGCAGGTACTGACAAGGCTTCTGCAGGCCTCTGTCGTGTGGCAGTGGCCCAGTTCAGACAGGTAGGATCCTGCTGTGGAGGGAGACGTGACAGGAGGCCGTGTTAATGAGCCCCTCACATTGCAGTACGTTACCTGTGGTGTCTTTCTCAGTGTGCCCCGCCTGCTCTCCTGTGTGTAGGGTGCTGTGCTGCAGGCGGGGGGTTGTGCTGACTGGTGGGGCCCTTCCAGATGCCTCCACTGTTTTATTCATCCTGTGCCAGGGGTGCCTTTCCTGGGGATGGTGATGGCAGCATGTGGCAGCTGGGAAATGCACCAACAGTCAGGGCTCTGAGTCAGGAGTTTGTTTAATAGACCTGGGTTTGGGAGCTTGTAGTAGAAGGAAGGATTACTCAATTACATACTCGTATTCTGATAAAACTCTTACCTTTATCTGAGTTGATAACACATTGATTTTGTCTGACCTGATCCCGAGAGGAGGGTTGCTGTGATGAGTGTTACGGGGAAGTGTTGCTTTAACCAGTGGAATGTCATGTCATTTTGAAGGCACCTCTGTTTTCACTGCTGCTGTCTGACAGTGTGTGGGGCAAAAGGCCAGTGTATTGTAGCACATTCTCTAGCTTGTGTAAATCTCTATGCAGCTGCACATGACTGGGTGTCTCGGTCTCCCTTTGTGAAGTCTTTTTGCCTCGTTTTCATCATTTATTCCCCTTCTCTGAAGCATGAAATGTGGCTTGGCACTTGGCCATCTCAGCTTTGCCGTCGTGTAAGCTCCAAATGTGCTGCGTGGCAGCTGCTGCATAAGTAGCTCCCTAAAAAGTGAGCGATGTTTAGTAGCACATGGCACTGTATCCTGAGAAAGCAGGTTGAGATCTGTGTTTAATGGCTGAGAAGAGTAAATGCAACTTGAGTGCTTGGTGTAGGTTACAGCGCAGGCTTGATGTTCAGGCTGCATTATGAGAATATCTATTTTAGAGTCCACTTGGTGCTCAGGTGGAATGCCTTGTTGGTGGTCACCTCAACAACGTGTGTGTGTCCACAAGATGAATACTAAGCGGCCAGGAGCAGCATAAGCTTCCCGTGTTGTCATAACTCCGCTGTCCCACAAGCACAAATTGTGTCTGATCTGGAGGGGTCACTTCTAATGACAGTTGACAGGGTAGGGCTTCCTCTCTGTGGGTCAGAGGTTTTTGGGCCAGTGTGCCAGGACTAACTGGTTTGCTAACTCTCACTCTGGGTATTGCAGAAGTGGTTTTGTGGAAGATGCCTCCTTTATAGTGTTTGGTGGATGATCTGTGTTCCCGCCTCAGCAAAGGGCAATCACTGTTTTATTAATTCAGGACCAGAATATTGACCATTAGTCCTCTCTGGATCTGTCCTAAGCTTCTTCGCAGCTGGAGTTTCCCGTCCCTGTTTCTAGGCATGGCAACATGCTTTCTGACAGAGGCTTTCTACCTCTTTCTTTCCATAGTCCCTGCCTGTACCTCATACTACCTTTGGTCATTGCAGTGGGAAGGCACTTGGATTCATTATGCGGCTCTGTATGTGTATGGGAAGGCGCCAAGAGCGGAGCAGAGTGCAGAGGGCAAGGTGACTGACGCAGTGCTTTTCCTCTCACAGGAATCCTGTCTATAGAACAGCTCATCAGCCGTGTGGGGGTGATTGGGGTGACACTCATGGCTTTGCTGTCAGGATTTGGGGCTGTCAACTGTCCATACACTTACATGTCCTACTTTCTCAGGTAACTGCAGCCTTGTGAAATATTTTTGTCCACCTTTTTGAGACTATTCATCTGCTTTTCCTGTGGCATTGATTTAAGTTTATGAAAAAACTTGTGTCCCTTCCCGTGGCAATGGGGTTGGAACTAGATGATCTTTAAGGTCTCTTCCAACCCAAACCATTCTGTGATTCTATGATAACCTTTTTTCCTGAATCTAGTTATTGCCATGTCTCCATGCTAGAACCATTTCCACTGCTGAAGCATGTTCTCCTACTATCGGCTCTTTCGTCTTTGTTTCAAGGCCGTGTGTCTGTCTGCTCTGAAATGGGGTAGCAGGCCTAATCGGGTGTCTTCATTTTGCAGGAATGTGACAGATGCAGATATTCTGGCTTTGGAGCGACGACTCCTTCAGACTATGGACATGATTGTCAGCAAGAAAAAAAGGTGAGAAGGCAGCAGTAGCATGACATTATTTCAAGGATTTTCAGTCAGTAAGGTGATTCTTGAAATTACCAAAATTATTAATCCTGCCAGGGCTACGTGCACCAGCAAAACAGGTGGCTGATTTGGGTTGAGCTCTGTGGTGTTTCATTATGGCCTGATACACAACTTGGGGTTTTTTCTCCATTCATATGCAGTAAATAGTACCCTTTCCTAAGGCAGTGGCACAGATCAGGCTTCCAAGGCAAATTGTAGCTGACGGCAGCTCGACTGGTCTGTAAACGGGCACCTTTCCCGCCTGATGAGGAAGTGACCCTCCAGCTCCACAGCTGGCTCTCTTCCTGGCGGTTTCAGTGCAGAAGTGGATTCATACACTGGGTGCTCTCCTGCTCTGAGGATGTGGTGTTTCCTGGGCAAAGCTCAAGCGGGCTAGTGAGTTGGTGTGGGCGCAGCTATATTCTTGCAAATGGCAAGGTTTACATTAGTTCAGTGTTGCAGAATTGCAAAAGGTTGCTAATGTGAACGTAGTGTAGGGCACAGGCATCCCATCAGAACTCTGCTTTTGTGGTTTTACCTTATTCTGTGTACCTCCAGTGAAAAATGGTGGAAAGAAGAAGATACTGTTGTCTGCTGTTAAAAATTATTTCATGCCTTACCAGTTGTGCAGAATAAATGCAGTACCCACAGTCACTTCAATGGTTTTGCTGTCTGACGCTGAATTCTCACAGCAGCCCCCCAGACTTTACTTTTGGTGCACTAACGTTTTAACAGAACCTTTACTGTATGACAGAGGAGCTTCTAGGTAATCTAACCCTGCTGAATGGGTCACCAGCGTGTGCATCTGCCGATCAGTACTAACGTATGAAAGTGCAGTTAAGGCATAACTTTTTTTTTCTTCCTCTTTGAAAATGTTAAGTGGTGAATAAAAGTTAACTCAGCATTTGTGGTCATGTGTGAGATGGCAAGCAGTGAGAGTATTTAATTACTCAGGCTTAATTGATTTAATTCACTAGAAGCAGACTAAAATACTGACTTTGGAGTGAAAAGATGTTGTTAGTGCTGCTTCTGAGTCTGTGCTCATTGGTTTGTACAGAGTTTTTGGACCTCTGGTCCAAGGAGACTGATGTTGGGCTAAAAGTAAGGACGTCTGGGACTTGTGACTCACTAGCACTTTCTTGCCTTCCTGCGGCCAGGGAATCTGAATATAGCCACTTTCTAACCATTGTGAAGAGCCACATAAATTGTGTTAAGCACTTGGGAATTATACTGAAGTTCGTGTGTTTGTATTTAAAAAAAAAAAAACAAAAAAAACCCAGCCAACAACCAAGCCTCCCCCCACCAAACTGTGTAGTCTCAAAAATCTGTAAGAAATAGCAGAAGCTCGAATTCTGTGTATTTGTTCTCTTTTTGCTTTGACAGGGAGCAGTAGATTGCATGATTGGACTATTTGGTAATATAAAGCACAGCTTAAAAAGTTAGATTTGTATCAGGCCAAACGCAATCCAGATCATTTGGCAGAACAAGCGGGAATAGCAGTATTTTACACCGTAGGGTAAACGCTGTAGTTCCATAAATTGTCAGTGACTTGCTGGACACCTTTGCAGTACTGCTGGTACCAGTGCACATGAGGGTTGTAAGGCAGTAGAACATAAAGCTTTTTTGTTTCCTTTGCTGATCTTGACATTTCTTCTCGTACCAACCCTTATTCATACTGGCTTCTTTGTCAGTAGGAAATAGTGGTTAAAAGTGGTTTTCCCTGATGCTTTTTGCACAGGAATTATTTTCTCCTTGAGTGTAATCAAGTAAAGCCTTATGGAAACTTACTCTGAGGTTGGCAGGTTGTTGTGCTGGCTCGTTCGTGAGGGAGTTGGTGGGTTTGTTTAGTTTTCCAGCTCGTGCTACCGCTGAGAGGGTTCGCTCGGAATCTGCTGTGACAGCTCTCGGGCTCTCTGAGTCTGCCTCTCACTACTCAACACCTGGTTGTGCACTGGTCAGTGAGTGGTGAGGAATTGTATCATATTGTATCACATGTTTTATTTTCTATTATTTTAATTATTTATTATTAGTAGTATCTGTATATATTAGTTTAGATTTAATTAGTAAAGAGTTCTTATCTCAATTCTACGAGCTTCTTTATTTTTCCCCCGATTCTTCCCCTCTGCTGGAGGAGGGGAGGGGGATTTGTGAGAGCAGCTCAGTGGTATTTTGCTAGCCAGAGTTAAACCACGACAGTTGTTTATACTCATCCTTGCAGGTATGACATAACTAAGCCTTAGGTTTGGAATGCCTAGGTTCTGTGACACCATTGCTTCGTTTTGCTACGTGTTAAGAGTCCAATCAGCCTATCTGACGTAGATATCTCACATACCTACACGCGCAAAGTGTGGTTTTTGCCTGTGGATCCTTTCAGTGAGGTCTGCAGGACTCCCGACCGTGGCGTGGGGGCAGAGATCCCTGTCATTTCTCAGAAGAAAAGGTTTGCTTGCCTTCATATACTCACAGCCTTGCGCTGTGCCTTGGCGTAGCTGCATTTTTGCTGCACTGCTGTGGACTGCTTGGGATGGGACATGTGACTCGGGTACTTGGAAGAAAGTAAGGCTTAAAAATGCAATTCTTAAATTTGGCAGCTATCAGGATGAATTGAATCGATCTGTGTTACTTGTAGCCTGGGGCCGTATGTGCTTTTATATTCTGTGGGGTGCCCCAAGGGTGTATCTTTTACTGGATGTGAAGGAGAGGTGATTTTTTTTTTTTTGTCTTGTATTACACTGCTTATCAACAATGTTGACGAGGGCTCAGTGCCAAATGTAGCAATGCTGGCTGCAGCTACAAGAAAGGACCTAAACGCTGTCGAATCATGGATTGCCTTGACAGTCCTATGAATAGTTTTCCGCTTAGGAATGGGTAACTGGCTCACAAATTTCAGTGGGGAGAAATGTGAGGGAATGAGGCTAGAAGCCAGCAGTGCTCATGGGGATTATGCTGCAGCGCACATGGGAGTGTGAGGGACAATCTGCAGCTGCTGCTGTAGTGCTGGAATTAGCTCTACGAGTCACGTTCAGATTGCCTAAAGCATCTAATGGTTCACTCCAATAATGGAATTATGTGTTTCTGCTTCATAACAGCTTGTCATGCAGCCCAGTAGTGAGTGACAGCATGTCGGAGTGCTGCTGCATACCATCCAGCGCTTGTGGCTCTGTGGAGGAGCCGGATGTTTGGTGATAAAGAAGAGGTGTTCGGCGGGGGGGGATGGGAGCAGGAGAGGTCTTCCGATTCCTGAAGTTGAGATAGCAGAGTCATGTGTTTGAGGAAAGGAAAGAGACTAATCATATGACTGAGAAAGCCGTTTGAATTTTTATTTTTAATTGGGTTTAAAGCCCTTCAAGGATCCTAAATGGATGTGTTGGGAAGTGTCTCATTGAATCTCGCTTGATTAGATCTGGGCTCTGCTCCAGAGCTAATCAAAGTAATGTTATGAAGCAAGATTGGTGCTAAGAGGGAAAAAAAATAGGGGCATCTGTTTGCAGTGAATTTAGTTTAGCAGTGTCTGCTAAGGAACTGGTTTTGTTTTTATGGGTGGGGTTTTTTTGGGTTTTTTTTGACTTTTTATGAAAATACTTTATTCCTTAAGGGCTTATTTTGTCCATTTTCTGTTCTTTCAGGATAGCAGTGGCTCATAGGACAATGTTCCAGAGGGGAGAAGTGCATAACAAACCCACTGGCTTCTGGGGAATGATAAAAAGTGTTACAACATCTGTTGCAGGCAGTGAAAGTATCCTTTATCTGCACGCTGGCACCTGCCTCGGGAGGTGGTTCCAGCTGTCTTCCCTTTTGAAAGGAGGAGTGTTAGTTGGGACAGTTACAAAGCATTTGTGTTTCAGCAGCCTGAGCCAAAGGCTGAACGCCTCCTGGGCCGTGCGCTCTCTAGCGCTGTGCTGCCTGACCGTTTGCCCAGGGGTTGGGCACACAGCTGTGCTGTGACACAGAGGGGAGCTGGCACGCTGCTGCCCTGCCCCGTAAATGCGCCGTTGCATCACTGCAGTGGAGGCGCACAGCAGATAGCGGGACAGATGTGCACGCTTACGGTGTCACATCGCAGATGTCTACCCCGGCACGTCACCCACATGGGAGGCAACTTTCCCTTTGGATCAAAGCGGAGCAGCAGTCTCCAAGAGCTCTGGTTCTATTCTGTGATGGGTTCCCCAGGCAGAGGAATAAAGAGCTTGTTGCACTACTGCCTAAATACTGTGTGCTCCCCACCCTCTTAGCATGGAGTAGCATGCAGTGTCTGTATCCCTGGGACTCTGGGTGCAGTGTTAACAAGGAGCGTTAAGACTGAATCACAAAACTGGTCTGGATTAAAACAATGGCCCTTGGGCTGAAGGTGGGGAACGTTTGGTTTTTGATTAAGAACTTGTAATGTGTTTTAGCCTTGACTGTGCTGGTTTGCCAGATCTGTCTCTTATCCAGCAAGAAGTGGATGCCCTAGAAGAGCTGAGTCGGCAGCTTTTTCTGGAAACTGCTGACTTGCATGCAACAAAGGTACGTAGTGAAATAACTGCCCAGATGGGTGTTGGGAGGTCAGAGTAGTTGGAAAGCGAAAATGTGACAATAAACTTAAAGCTCTTCAGCAGGTGAACGTTGAAACGTTGTGATGTGGTGGAGTGAGGATCTGTTCCTTTAATTTGGGGTCTAGATGGCAGTTTTCTGTCCAGTTCAGATAGGTATTGGAGTATGGCCCATGTTCCCAAAGCCATTCAGAAACATTGGAGTTAAGGGGTGTAGAAGGATAAAGCTGATAAAGCTGTGTTTGCTAGTATTGGTGCTCCATTAAAATTTTGTGTTGTGGATGGTTGTGGAAATGATTTTTTGATGTGTGTTCTGTTCCCCCTCCCTCCTTTTGTATTTCCAGGAGAGAATAGAGTACTCCAAAACTTTCCAGGGAAAATACTTCAATTTTTTGGGTTATTTTTTCTCTATCTATTGTGTCTGGAAAATCTTTATGGTATGTAAATGTTTTAGTATGTTTTATATTGACTTATGCAAATGTCACACGCTGCATAGATTATGCTATACATTCAGTCCATCAAATAATGCCCCAATTTCTTTAACATAAAGCTCTGGATCTGTCTTGCTGTATAGAGCAGTAGACAAGCAATCCTTACATGTGTGCATTTTGCACCTTCTTAGACAATCCAATCTCCCCTGCCCCTTTCCTTGGTGATACAAAAGAGTCATCATGCATGTGGCTCCTTTAATGGTGTTTTCTTGTTTGAGTGTAAATCCATCTCTCTCTTGTAGGCAACGATCAATATTGTATTTGACCGTGTGGGGAAAACTGATCCAGTCACAAGAGGAATAGAGATCACTGTAAATTATCTGGGAATCCAGTTTGATGTGAGACACTATTAATTCTTACAGCCTTTTCAGCAATTCCTGTCTTATCCGAGTAAAATCATACTGTTGTTAGGGAGAGAGTAATAGAGCCCTGAGAATGTGTCTTTGACTTCTGACTGACTGAAGAGGAAGGGAAAATGCACCGTAAACTTTGCTTTCACACTGATTTTATGCTGGGGTGGTAATGTGGTCTTGTCAGAGAGGCAGTGATTTGCTTGTTTGTTTTAGGCAAATGGAAACATGTTCCTCAACTTGCTTAGTTTAATACGTTTAACTACAGAGTAATTGTTTGCTCATGCACATAAGTCTTCTGTCCTTTACACTTTTTAAGTATATCCTTGGGAATATGGGCTTTTTTTTTTTTGATTGGTGTAAACTGAATTTTTTTCTCATGTGTTTGGAGTAAATAATTGCTAATATGTTTGTGAAAATGTCTTGTATAAACCTGTCTGCAGTGGATGTCTGTACAATCAGGAGATGCAAAGACCCTGAAGATTTGGCAGCTATACAATGTGGTGTAAATGAGGTTAGCAATAGAGATTCAACTGTATTCTTCTTGTTGATGCAGGTGAAATTCTGGTCTCAGCACATCTCCTTTATTCTTGTTGGAATAATCATTGTTACCTCTATCAGGGGATTGTTAATCACGCTTACAAAGGTAAGAGCCAGGACTCTTAATGTGGGTTTGGAGCAGAAAAGATCTTTTACTTTAGAATCATAGGTGGGACAAATACTGTAGAAATACTTTAGGTGGGACAAATACCGTATAAACTTCCAATACACATTTATGTTTTAGAAATCTGAATATAAATACTTACAGGGGGAGGAAAAATAACCTTCTGCAGTGTATTTCCCCACTCAGTCTCTATTGTTATTGCTGCTGGGAAGAGATGTGGATGTTAAACATGAGGAAGGGTCCAAAATGGTACTGTAGCCAGGCTTATTAGTAAGGTTGGTGAGATGGTGGTTAAAAGAATTTAGATTGCTTAATTTGAGCTGATGGTAGGACTGGAAAGGCATTAACTCAGGAGACTCATTGTCTTGACCTGGCTTTTGGTACCTAAGCTTAAACTTCAATATATATATAAGACTAAGACTGTGGATTTCAGGAAGTAGGGTACTCCTCCATTTATTTTCAAATGCCACAGTTTTAAATGGTGTGTACCTTTCGTGCAGTCCTAAGGCACATCAGACTTGTCTGACTGCTTTATTTCCAGTGCTTTTTTCTTTTTTCCCCCTAGTTCTTCTATGCCATTTCCAGCAGCAAGTCCTCCAATGTTATCGTTCTGCTTTTAGCACAGATAATGGTGAGTATGTGGATCCATGGGCACGCCTATATACATTTCTGCATGCATACATATTTGTGTGTACATACACACATAATAAAACCTTTGTTAGCTGCTGACCCATGTTGGCCATGGAGCCAATTGTGAAGCAGTAACTACTTTCTCATTTTTAATTTACAGGGGATGTACTTTGTGTCATCAGTGCTCCTGATCCGGATGAGTATGCCTCTGGAATATCGCACTATTATTACGGAAGTCCTGGGAGAGCTCCAGTTCAACTTCTATCATCGTTGGTTTGATGTCATATTCCTAGTTAGCGCACTGTCCAGTATCCTCTTTCTCTATTTAGCACACAAACAAGCCCCAGAAAAGCATATGGCCCTCTGAGTAAGGACGGCAGTCATGCGCCGCTCTCCGTCCTCTCAGCTGCACTGCTGCAACGCCTGTGGACTGCAACACTTGAAGAGAACCAGGACTATTCTGTGTGTTCCAGCAGTGTCACTGGCTCTTTGACCTTCCACACGTATTCGTCAGACCCTGTGGCTGATTTTGTTATTAAGGTGCCACAGCTCGAAGGAAAGGGGGATGCACGTATTGAATGTAAGGTAGATCGTTGCCGAGGAATAAGGGCGCTCCTTGGCACACCAGTATCTAGAGGCATTGGAACTTGTGTAATAGGCTGTCTGAGGTAAGACCTCCTACTGTCAGAAGAACATCTTGATAGAAGGCACCAAGGGAATGTGATTTTTTACTGTTGAAACGCAACACGTAATTGGGATTCAGAGGATGGCAGTTGTGGAGTTGAATGTTTGAGTCCATGGAATTAAATAAGCTTTTGTAATATCTCATGTAAGCATCACAGTTGTGTTTTTGTCAGCCCCAAAGACTCGTCTGGAAGTGAGCTAGAAAGTGGCTAGCATTTGCTGCCGGGCAGAAGGGAAGCGGAGGGAATTTCAGACCGTTTCGGTATGGAGTGTGTGCCAGCGTGCATCACTAGTACCTCCTGTCCTTAGGAGCTGGAGATCAGCTTTCTGTTGCTGAGTCTCAGTTGTGTTTTTTCTCCCTGCATAAATGGAACTGAGGTTTTGGATTCCTCTTTGCTAGAGTTCAGTGTGAAGTCAAAGACCACAGCTAGGCCTTGTTTACTGTGTGTGATACAAATTTGTTTGCCTTACGTGCTGTAACATTGGTGTTCCCCACAACCCGTGTTTTCTTCTGCAGGACCCCATTTCCCCTTCTTGATTGTAATTCCAGGTGTAAACGTGATGTTTATCCACGTGACTTAACCTTGTAGCCTCCAAGTGCCACTTTCCTAGGCTTTGTTTTAAAATTCTTCTGGAACAAAAGTTACAGGTGGTTAAGAGTAAGACCTGAGGGTGGGGGGAAAAAGAGCAACGCTAAACAATTTATTTCTGTGTTGTCTTCAGTGTAGAGCAAGGAGGCAGAGCATGCAGCAGCAGTATTACAGAGCCATTTATGTCACGATTCAAGACAGCGTGGCGTCGTCAGACAAACCTGTGTGTCTGAATTATGTCCGCTGTTCCAACTGCCATGATCCGCACTGTTTGCAGAGGGCAGCAAGTGGTGCGTCTTGAGTCATGAATTATGCAGTTAGCTTAATGTTTGAGAGGAATTTCTGCGATGTTAGCAGGAGACAGGAGCGTAATGCACAAGGGTGCGTTGGCTTGCGTCGCAGCAGTTGCGCTGCTGGAAGTATGGCATAGGAGAGCTGCCGCAGAGATTGAGTTGAGGAGCTTGGATTAGGGGGAGGATAGCCTCCTCTGGGAGATGGGGAGGAATCGGTTGCTCTTTATTAAGAGCTTATCCTTAAAAGGCTGAGATGCTTACGGATCTATAAAACGTTTCCGCCTGCTGTGGCAGTAACTTACGTGGGTAAAGGCGTGAATAACCAGCAGCATGTAAGTGAGTGACCGCCCGCCCGCTTTACAAGGCAGGAAGCCAGCGAGGTACGACTGCCATGTGTTAAATGAATGCCAGTTACGCTGGAGCGTTCCTGCATCTCCGCAAGAGATGGCAGTCCTTCACAGGTACGGCACTCCGGGGTACAGTCAAGTTCTGGGAGGTGTAGTAGCAAAAAATGATCGAAGAAGGAGGATTTGGGAGGTTTCGGGTTTTTTTGTTCTTGGCATAGTTTGTCCTCTCAAAACTTCGTGTCGTCATTGTTGTCGCTGTCTGCTCTCGTAGAGGCAGCTGATTGTGAGGAGGAGGAGGAGCTTGCCTACGGAGAAACAACAAATACGTTCTGATTATTATGTTTGTAAGCACGCGTGATAGTCTGCTAAGTTATGAAGGGCTCCTGTTTTCATCTGCCCTCAGCGTGCGCTTGTTTGGATGGCAGAATGAGCCAACAAATGTAATTTTTGTTGTTGTTGAAGTGCTTTTTGGAGAAGTACATTTAGAGGGAAATCTGTTCGGTGGAGGTTTCCTGTTTAATTCCCATACCTACTGAATTTGCATACAAAAGGCGGGGCTAACGTCAGGTCTGCGAAATGCAGCTTGGTGAATGGGAAACATTTGGAAAAAACCTGCAGCTGCACATTTGCAGACAAGGCTAATGAAAAATGACTAGGAGACAGTACTGCTCCTACTCCTCCTTACCTGTCTCTTGCATGATCGGAAAGGAAGCATCTAAATATTTAAGGCTGACCGCAGAGGGTTCAAAATGACTGTTTCAATCAGAAACAACTTTCCTGCTTTTCTCACTTCTGTCATACTTCAGATTCTACTGGCATGAAGTGAGTAAAATAATTTCAGATCAGCACATTGCCTAGAAAAATGTTGTCATAACCTATCAGTTACTCTTCCTTCTACAAAATTATCTGTTTTGAAATACTTCACCTGAATAAAACCCCGAAAGCAGTTTATGCTGTTTGGTGTGTATAAGCACTTTCCCACCCCGGCACTTCCAGGATTGTATTGCTAGTTTCCCATCTTCATTAAGGATTATTGTATTTGGATTATCTTAGTCCATAAAATCTCTTGTGTGGTGCATCCCTTCTGTGATTTAATCTTGATGATTAAAGATACTTACGTGTGGGGAAAGGAAGAGTTGTTTGTGATAATCAGACCGCAGCTTCCCTTTCGGTAACACAGACTGACTTGTAAAAATCCAGGCTCAACTTAAAAATCCTAGCTCAGGAGTACATAGTAGTTAGAAAAGAAAGGTTTCTACCCCCTAGATGATCCCTCAACATTTGCTTAATGCAGTGTTACTCACCCTTTGCCTTGGTTCAGGTGAGTTTCTCTCCGGGTCTGACAAATGGTTTTCTCTATAAGCTGGAGGTTCAGAAGGGTCACGAACTGGATCTGCCATGGAGGCTGTGATGGGAATATTCTGGCCCTGGAAGTATTTGTAAGCATCTTTGCTGCACACCAGTAGTGTCAGTCTGTCACCGCTCTCTTGGATTCTTGCCACCACTTTGTCATAGGCTTCATTCATCATGTTCACCCCATTCACTTCCAGGAGAAAGTCGTTATTTTCCACACCGGCGGTGTCAGCTGGCCCGTGCTTTTGTACCTGCAAAGGCAAATTCAGACTGTCGTAGCAGCATAAGACTTGGAAGGATGCGTTAACAGCTGGTGGTTAGCTAGACTATTGAGGCACTGCTTCCCTTAGAGGACGGCAAAATAAGCATGGGGAAGTGGAGATTTGCGGGGCAGAAATTAACTGGGAGAGGCAAAAAGCCTAGATATAATCAACCTGGAACCCAGCAGTTTAAGATGCATCTTGATTTTGATAGACTCATTATAGCAATGTGGCACGGTAGAATCATGAAGACAGGTGGAAAACCAGTTTTCTTATTTTTTGCAGGTCCCTGCCCAGTAACTTTACTGCATTTCACAGATTCGTTAGTAATAAGTGGAAACTCCTCACAAGAAGGCTAGAATGACAGACATAATTTGAGGCAGTAGAGGTTTGACTTTTGCCAGCTGTGGGATTCAGAGAAGGGGAGTAGGGCATGGTGAAGGTGTCTCTTACATTTTTAGGATGTTCTACAGTCAAATGAATCAGTTTAAAATACTAATTTTAGCATGCCAGCCTCATGAATAAAAGCAAAAATGATGCAAAACTTGGTTTCCCCTTCCCTCTAGATGTCTAACAGCATGAAGAACATTTTCTGGTGCTTGTTTTTAATTGTGGTGCTGCCATGTCAGTCTAAATTCAACAGTTACAGCGCTTCTCTGAGAGCGCTGGAGAAGAAACTTGTTTTTTGTGGCTTTTCTTGAATGTATTTGTGGGGTGGCAGGGAGAAGGCTATCCAACAGATTACTGAGCTTTTCCTTGCTCCTCATTCTACGTCAGTACCTCATTGATGAACAGGCCAGGCTTGTTCTTGATCATGTTTAAGCTGAAGCCGAATCCACTAGGCCCTTTCACCATCTTGCAGATTCTTGGCTTGTGGTTCACTTTGTGCTCCGGGTGCAACTCCACTCTTGCCTCCATTGTAGCTGGAGTTGGATCTTGTACTTTGGAGTAGTAGGAGCAGGGGGAAATCTGAGCCTGGAAAAAGTGACAAATGGAAGTTTGTTAACGTAAAAACTTGTGCTGCGAGATCTGTATTGGGTTCGCCATGCTCAACCTGCTTTGTTTGAAACCTTTTTAATGAGTCAGACTTGAGCTGCAGTGAAGGACTCTGCTGATAATGCCTGGCTGAGTGGAAACCTACAGTGTTGATCTATGTGTGAAAGGAATTTTGTGACTCGCTTTGTTCATAAACGGTTACATGAATTTGCTGTCTTAAACTGCTCACCTTCCTTGTGGTGTGTTTAAATGTAGAATTGTTCCAATAGCGCCTGTGAAAATCTGGAAGAGGCCAAAAACTTGGGTATTTAGTGACTTGCTGTACAAGTGCAAGGAGAGCTGCTGAAATATGGGTGCAGTTTAGACATCTCCTGCAAGATGAAGTGTCTGCCGGAGCAGACTGGCTCTTTCATTGCTACATATGTCTCTTCATAACGATAACTTACCAGTTCTTAGCAGAAAGTTTGCATTTTCTTACCAGTTTATACATAGTGTCAGTCTCCTTATCCACTACCAGCAGCGTGGCTTTTGCCTTGGACTGCTTAATTTTTCCCACTACGCTTTCATGATCCAGACCATCCACTTGCTCGCCGTTGACAGCTACTAGGATGTCGTTGGTTTTGAGACCGGCCTTGGCTGCTGGGCTCCCAGAATCAACATCCCTGATTATATGACCTAAGATCAGAAGGGGGAAAAAGAAATTGATGTGAAGGCATCTGCTTGTTTAAAGACATTAAAATGCGTGGCAAAGGCTAATTGTCAGAATTGTGCTTCAGGTTGAGGCCGTTTCCCTGATGTAGCCTGGTTTGCATCACGTCTATTGGGGGTTTCTAGATGAGCAGTAAGAAACCAAGGAGAATGAGGTCTGCAAACCCTGTACAGGAAGAAACCAGGTGTCGTGGTCTGTGTGTTAGCTTGGTTCTTACCACCCATGTTTTGTTCCATCTGTAGATGAAAGCCATATCCGTTTTTTCCTTTCTGGATCTCAAGAAGTCGTGGTTTGAGGGGAAGGAATCTTAGGTTGGCGCTCTCTTTGCTCAGTACCATCTTCTGGCTCATGTAATAGCGGTCCGTTTCTTCGTTGGAAAGTAGAAACATAACATGATTTCCAGACTTCTTCACCTGCAATAGTACACGTATAGTTTCAGATGTCACCCCTTCCGCCACGTGTGGGGATTACAGATGCTTCCGTAACTCCTGTGCTGATATACATAGTGGTGTGTGGGTGCTGTTGATGAATGAGCCATAAGGTGTCAGCTACGCTACTGTAATTTGACTTTTTTCTCCAGTCAGAAATTTTGACTGTGACAAGATCTCGGGCTTGTAAGATCCCGCATATATATGAGGCCATTTTCTGTATTTCGGACTGTTTTCCTGACCTCTAGTGAATTAGCTGTGGAGTGCCATGAGGGTGGTGTACAGTGCCAGTAGAATCCAGTGAGCCTCAGTAGAGGCTTGGCTTATTTAGATGTGGGACTCTACAGGCATATCGTGCCGTCTATACCACTGTTTTAAATCCAGTGATGCGTCAAGTTTACATCACGTTTGGTCATCTTCCATCTCCCTGTATTGCTGATTCTGAGTTTTTGGGGGTTTTTTGGTGTGTTGTTTTTTTTTTTTTCTTTTTTTCTGTTTCTTTTTTTTTTTGCAAGTCCATCCTTTATTTTACTCCTCTCTAGCCTAATGGGTGCCCTCTTTACTCAACCGACGTTGCTGCTGCTGCTGTTCCGGCAGCTCACCAAATGACGGGTGTTGCAGGGTTCTGTAGTGCGGAGCGTGCGCTGAATTGTGATGCTGGGATGGCAGAGCGTGTGCTGCCTGTCTCGTGGCTCACTGAAAGCTCTTCAGCTCCAGCTGCATTTTAGCAGTGCTAATAGTGGCAAGCTGGAAGCCTCATTAGCAATGTTCTTTGCAGCTGAGGCCAGGTAGGGAATTTATTTGCACAGTATTTTTTATCAGCTTGGAACTTTTTAACGGGAGAAAGGAACTGGTGTCTAAAATAATGAATTTTCCCTGTTCCATGCTAACTGTATCATCAGGGTTCCCCCTCTTCCTGCCCTGAAAACCACATTTGATGACCTGCCCTCTTACCATGAGGAGTATTTCCAGGAAGAGAGCGTGATTTATTTAACAGGGCTCCTGGCAGCGGTATACTGGTGTTATTTAAAAATCTTTGGCCTGTCTTGATGGCAGCGTTCATTCAGGATCAGTTCAAGTGGCCGCTTGACAGCAGAGCCGAAGCAGAGGGTTGCTCTGCCCTGTTGATGATACATGAACAGTAGCTTCCAGGATTTACTGTGAAGCCTTCACATCGGCCAGACCTGCCTCCTCAGTGACCCTGGTGGGTTGCTGTGCAAGTGGGCCAGAAGAGAAGATGAATCGGTATACAAACTAATACCTTTTCCACCATTTCCTCGTGTGTGTCATTTTCCACATTTTTTCCATTGATTTCAATCAGGCGATCGTTATTTTGGACACCAGCCTTCACAGCTGCTCCTTGTGATGAAAGCTCCACTATGAACAACCCCTTCTGTCCTAAAATAAATGAAAGCTCATTACACAGGGTACGTCACTGCAATGTGCCTGCATTCAATGGCTAAGGGAGCGCAGCGCCGATGTCCTCAGAGACCCTCCGTCTCCGCTTAGGGGCAGATTACAGGGGCACTACAGACACACCGCTGCCATTCTGCCTGGAAAAACCCTGCTGGGAGGCATTTCTTCCCTATCTGCAACTCAGAAGATCTTTTGTTTGTCTGCCAAGAGTGCCAAAGGGGCTGATTAGATAGCTGAAAGGGATTGGGGGGTGGTGTCCCCACCAACTTGGAGTGGGGAGCTGCTTTTATACATTTCATCATTTCCTGTGTATGCAAGGCTTCCATGGCCATCTTCAAGGCCAGGCTGGATGAGGCTTTGAGCAACCTGGTCTAGTGGAAGGTGTCCCTGCCCATGGCAGGGGGGTTGGAACTGGATGGTCTTTAAGGTCCCTTCCAACCCTAACCATTCTGTGATTCTATGAGTCTATGTTTGGGCTTTCAGTTACGTGGCATTCCAAAATACCCTCTTTAGAGGTGATGCTTTCCAGAAGACCTCTAGTCTGTTGATTGGCCTTGGAAGAAAGGCACATGTGGAAGAGGTTCAAAATCGCTTGCTTTCCAAATGAGGTAACTTACAAATCAGGAAGTGTTTATTACCGTTACCCAGAACCTTAGGTGCTGATTCCTGGGATGATTTGGAGGAATGCAGCAGGATATAATGTAGCAACTGGAGCGGGTATCTGGTGTTTGAGCAGGGACGGCAAATTTGGTTTTGTTAAGTGGGCTGAAATAACAAACACAACATAGCTTATTCTTTTTATCTCTCTAGGGTTTTTTTTTCCCAATCTTTTCTCCACCCCATAAGATCGTGGTCCTCAGAGGACCATGCACTGCATATGCTGTACAGAAATCAGATGGATCTGAACTCTTCTTGCTGCTTCTCACTTCCTTTCTGTTAGCAGGAGCAGTTTGTGTGCCCCCATTAGCCCCCCACCTGTTAACTGTGGTTGCCTCTCCCAGCTGCCATATAGACATATGGGGGCCAGTGGGAGCACACAAACTGCCCTTGCCAATATGTGTATATACACCCTCCCCCCATCTCTTCTGCCCAGGCTCTCACCTTCTGTGCTTTTCAGAGAGAAGCCATAGCCTTTCTCCTCCTTCACTAGGTAGCAGAGCCGGGGTTGTGGAGCTGCAGTGATTGCTCCATTGCCTGTGGGTGGCGGGGACTGCTGACCCTGCTGCTGTCCTCTTGACGCCTTTTGACCCAGCTCTTCCAAGTTCACTCCTTCCTTTTCTGCCTTTTGATAGGATGCATCATCCAGAACAAGAAATACAACAGAATCCCCGCTGGTTTTGACCATCTCCACCACCTGTAGTGGACAAAGTGAAACAGCAAGCAGGTCTTAGGACGATTGACCTAAAAGTTCTCCCCAGGAAGGGTTGTGCTGTCTGGTTTTTGTCTCATCCCTCTGCTTGTGCACTATGGAGGCACCTCAAAGGCATTTCTTGCCCATAGTGGATAGTGAACGATGCAGAGAGATACTCAGAGCAGTTGACTCAGCTCTTGGATTTCCTAGTGGAAGATGCCGTAAAAACTGGAAGAGAAAGCTTCACGTAGTAGCAGTGGGTCTGTGTAATGGGGGAGTGGTGTGGATCACAGACTAAACAGAGATGTACCTGTGTGTGTTCCTCCTTGTCTACAAACACACCGTTAACCCTGAGGACTCTGTCTCCATCCTTCAAGCCAGCCTTTTCAGCTGGACTGTCCTTTTCCACGTTCCGGATGAGATGCCCTGCTGTGTCTTTCTCAATGCGCAGGTAGAATCCATAGCTCTTTTGGGGCTTTTTGGTCACTTTACATTCCCGAGGCTGGAGAACAGAAGTCATCTCTACCAGACAGGATGGAAAAGGTTTATGTGAGTAAATATAGGAAGCTTACCTAGGTATGTTGTCTCTACATACTGAGACAGTTTGCTCCAAAATTCTTGGGTTTTTGTTTCTCAGGAAATCCTGTTGTGCAAAGTTGAAGCTATTTAAAAAGGCTCAGGAGAAGAAGGCAATTCTTTTTCTCTCTCCCTCCTCACTTTTCATGTCTCCCTGTCTCAAAGCAAGATGCACAACTGGAAGAAAGATGTTGTCTGCCTGTGATACCATTGTGAAAACTGAGCTGAGGATTTAATACCAAAATTAAGTCTTACGGAGTAAAAATAGTGGCAGCACAAAAATACTGGAACACTACAGTAAAGTTATGTGACAAAATGGGATTTCACAGAATGGTCAAGGTTGAAAGGGATTTCTGGAGCTGATGTGGTCCAACCCCCCAGTTGAAGCATGACCACCTAGAGCCAGTTCCCCAGGGTCAAGTCCAGATGGCTTTTGAGTATCTCCAAGGAGGGAGGCTCCATTACCTCTCTGGGCAACCAGGACCAGTGCTCAGTCATCCTCACAGTAAAAAGTGTCCATTCAGATGGCACCTCCTGTGTTTCAGTTTGTGCCCAGTGCCTCTTGTCCTCTCACTGGGCACCACTGAAAGGAGTCCAGCTCCATCTTCTTTGCACCCTCCCTTTATACCTTGGCAAGTTCCTCCCGAGCCTTTGCTTCTCCAGGCTGAACAGCCCCAGCTCTCTGTCTTTTGAATATCTCCAAGGATGGAAACTACAACTTCTCTGGGTAATCTGTGCAGGCGGACGAGCAGGTGGGGTCAAGGAAGGACCTCGTTGTCCTAAGCAGGCTTTCCTGTTCTTGGTTATTTTAGCTAAACAGAATTAAGTTTCAGGAAAAGACACCGTAACTGGAGTGTTACTGTTAATGGGTGCAGGGTTTGTGTTGGAGGGTGGAAACCAAGCGCTATAAAGGAACTGGGAAGACCCTTGGCTCCGCTTACAAAACCTTTTATCTCCTGGTTGGGTTCGGTATGTCTGCGTCTCAGTTTTCATACAAAACGGAGCGCTTGCGTTACTTCCAGGTCCTTCAGAAGTTACTGGCAGAGTCAAAGTTTTTGGAGTTGGCCACATTTGCCTCTGCCTCTGAATCCTAATTGATTCTGTAATGAAGAGGAGCGAACAGAGCTGTTTCACGTGGGTATGTCGTCATAGGTGAGACTTGGGTAAGAGATGTCTCTGTCTGGACAAAGCAGAGGGGTTGGGCCAGTAGGCTGATCTTGCAATTCTCACATGAATCCTGAAATGACCAAAGCCTCAGTTTGCTGCCCAACTGAAACTTTGTCTCCAACCTTCAGGACTTTAACAATGCCATGAGCAGTAATTGTTATGAAAATGTGACGTTGTGTGGTAAAGGAAAGAAACTAAATTTGGGTTGGAAATGACAGGCTGCTGAAGTAACTGCAGGAGTTTGATTCAGACTGATTTCTCAATGAATCTGTGACAACTGGAGCAGAATTTCCAGTCAGTGTCTCCAGGGGGCTGTGTTTACTTCCCCAGAGAACTGAGGCCAGCTGGTTCAAGAGTATATTGATGCTGGGATTGTCACCAGATTGCTGGTAGGCAGTCGCTCTTCTCCTCTGGAGGGTTTTTAAGCAAATCCTCCTAGAAGCTGTGTCAGCCACAGGGGCCAAGGACAGGGAGGTGTTTGGGACCATGCAGTGTGGGTTTACTGATTTTTTTTTTTTTTTGGTGATGTGTGATGAACCTGATAACTTGACATGGGTCTGTGATGTGGAGAGAACAGTGGATGCTGTTCACCTTAACGTTTGCAATGACCCCGATACGGTCTCTAGTGCAGTTGTTGTAGCCAATCTGTGACAGGCGCTGGATAAGCAGGCCACCAGGTGGGCAGAAAATTGTCTAGGCCACTAGGTTCAGAGGGTTTCCATCAGTGATGTATAATGCAGCTGTTGGCTGGTTGTTAGTGGCACTATTTAGGGTAGGTACTGAGGCTGATACCACTGAACATCTGTCTTTACGATATGGGCAGCGAGACAGGATACATCCCCAACAAGCTGATAGGTGGTAGCAAACCGAGGGGGAGCAGCAATAGGCTGGAGGTTAGGGTTGCTGTTTAGGGAGATCTCAGCAGGCTGGAGAAATGGGCTGACAGAAACCTGGTGAAGTTCAGCAAAGAAAAGTGGGGAAAACCCCATCTGTATCTAGACCCCGCACACCCCATGCAGGCTGACTGCTGGCTGGCCAGAAGGCAGCGTTGCTGGGCTGCACACGGGTGCCCAGGTTGAACATGGGTCAGGGGCCCTGTGCAGTGAAGGTCAACTGTGTACGGGGTGGTATCAGTATGTAGCCAGCAGGTCGATGGAGGGGATTGTTCCCCTCTCTGCCACTTGTGAGACCACGTGTGAGTACTGTCTCTGGTTCTGAGCTCCACAGGTAACCGACATGTTGGAGCTGGGCCACTGGGCTGATTTTGGAGCACGTGATGTTTAAGGAGACTGAGAGAGCTGGGTTTGTTCAGCCGTGGGAAGAGACAGCAAAGGGAAGATCTTACTGATGTCTTCAACTGCCTGACTGGCTTGTGTAGAGAACACAGCGCTGGACTCTTCCTGGAAGTCAACAGTGATAGGATGAGAGGTAACAGACACAGGCTGCAGCAAGGGAAATTCCAATTAGGCAGCTGTAAGGACAGCTTTTCATCTTGGGAGCCTCCAGATACTGGAACAGGTGCCCAGGGAGGCTGCAGAATCTCCGTCCTTGGAGATACTTACGTGGCTGTGGTCCTGAGCAACACAGTCTAAGTTGGACCAGTTTTTTATGGGGACCAGATGGCCTCCAGAAGTCCCTTCCAACCTAAACTCTTCTGTGCTTTTAGAATGTAATGAAACTCCGGTGTGGGTGATGCGTATCATTAGCAGGAATACTACATACTGAAAGTAAGCAGTAGTGAGCAGGGAACAGCTCCAGAGATAGTTGCCTTAGGAACTCCTGCCAGAGATCCGTGATAGAGGAACAAGATGAATGAAGACAACTGCCTCTAGTTGGAAAGTTCAGCTAATTAGCAAACTTGATTTGTATTTTACTGGAAAGAGAGTTTTCCTTTCTGCCTCTCTCTCTACTGTCTGTCAGAAGCCCAAAGTTGCGATGCAGAGATCACCCGTAATCACAGCCTAGGAAATACCAAGGACATTCACCTGCTTGCACGCAAATATTTCTTTGCAGCTCTGCATTTTTTCTTTCTTTATATCACCAGTGTGACTAATGTGGGTAGGAACTGGCTGTTTTTTCTTGTGCCTTGTGCTTTTTTGAGCCTCTGTGTAGTTGCACTGGGACTAACTCCATACAGGGATGGGCTGCCTTATTATTTGGACATTGTTTGGAACACATCAGGCTGTATTGATCGCAACTGCAGCTCAGAGCATTTTTTCTTGAGAAAAAGCTGGGAATCTCTGCTAATTTCTGAAGCTAGCATGTGAAACCGGTGTCACACAAAGCTGAAGAAACAGTAGGCTTTTATGGGGGAAAAAAGTATTTCTTTGCATTTAGAAATGGAGGGCAGGTTACAGTGTGCGGCACACTACTTTTAATCCATGAAAGCTTTACATGCATAACTATCAGGATCAAAAAAAGGAGTTTTCTAGGGGAAGAGGGATTAGGAAAAAAGGAATTTCTTACCTGTATGTCTGCGTGGAGCAGGCTTCACAGGAATTCTCTTTTGCTGTCCCTCCTGTGGCTGTACCTATAAGTAAAGGTGGACTTTGATTGGGCAAAGGTTGGTTTAAAAGATGATTTATTTAACCAAGTTTCACTGAATATGTTCAACACCTTGATAAGCTGCCTTGTCCTTGCCTGCAGAAGTGCTAATCACGTGCATTTCTCAGCATCTTTGAATTTTGTTCCACTGATAATTATACTCAAAAACTCAGTCAGGGAGGTTATCCAAGGCAAACCTGATCTTTGATCTGGGCAAGAGCCTTCTCCAGCTACAAGGAACATCTTAAAGGGAACAGGTTTGGATTGTGTTGGATTGACCTGGGCCAGCAGCATTTGAGTGCAAATCAAGAGGTTACTGGTTCAAACTTGTGTGCCCCGTGTTGGGTGCCAAAAAAAGCAACCGTGATGGGTTAACCTTGGCCAGCAGCCAGATGCCCACCAAACTGCTCTCCCTCCCTTCCTCTACAGGACAGGAGGAGAAAATAGAATGAAAAAGCTTGAGTAATTCAAGATAAGGGAGAGATATGATGAACAGATGGGGTTGTGATTGAGGGGTGGCCCTGGCTGAGGCCATCACACATGCAAAACATGCATGGCAATCAAGTGACCCATGTGAGTAAAGTCTCCCTGGAATAGAGGGAGGGAGGTGGCTGGGATATCAATATGGTGAGGCCTGGCAAATTGGCTGTACTGGACCACTTGCTATGAACCTGCCAAGGGAAGCACTGTGTGCTTACCATGGTGGAAGTGCCTACTGGGTGTGCCTACGGTAAACCAGGCCATTGCTTGAAACGCTACCCTGAGCCTTGAAGGGCAAATTCTGTGTCGCTGTATCCCAGAAAGAATCGAGTCAGTGCAACTCATTTCTGAAATAACCTCATATACTCCTGGCCCAAGAAACATGACACTGATCTTGTGCATCACATCCCCCGTCACCCACAAGCCTCTGGAAAGATTGAACCGTGCAATGGACTCCTAAGACTATGCTGACAGCACTCAGTGCTGGGGAATAGAAGCAGTGGGGGTGTAAAATCAGCAGAAACCACTTGGCTGGTTAACACCAGATGATCTGCCAACTGCCCTGCTTCTGCCCAAGCAAAGCCCCTCCATACTGTGGGAGGGAGGAGAGGAGTCCCCCTAGTACAGGTGGGGAAGTGGCTCTGAAAGTCAGTGTGGGTTGCTCTCCCTCGAGAAAAGGAAGGCTGATTTGTGGGATTGTCTCTGCTCGAGGACCCAGGTGCGCTGCACCAAGGTGGGTGGTGCAGAAGGAAGTGGAATTCTGGTGTGCACCTCAAGGAGGTTTATCCTTGGGGAGAAATAGTCCATAATTTGACTTGTATGATACAGGAATGATACATCAGGAATCACCTGAACAGTCCCAAGAATGCGCCTCACGAGGAGCCATGTGCGTGCAGCACCGACTGAGCCCAAGTGGTCTTGGTGCGCAACAGTCCAACACCCTGCATCTCCTGTCCTGAGGGACCCCTTGACAGGTGAGACCAAGGTCATTGACTGTTCTTATGGGCATTTGGGGAGGGGGAATGTGGAATGGGGGGGATAATATCTGTGTATATGTCCAGGGACATAGTTGTTAATGAGGATGTATAAACCTGACTGCTGGATGTAAAGATGGTTTAAGTATGTGTTATAACTTGTAAGTGTTGGTAAGAGGGAATTTCAGGAATGAGAAATGGATAGAATGACAAGCTTTTGAGTAGGGTATAGAAACTAAGCAACATATGAATGGGACAGAGGATTCTCAGATGTATCGGGTAATGTTGGACCTGAGCATGACGTGAATGGTGTGGAACAAGAGGCTGAGACTGTGCTGGCTCTGGCTGGGATGGCTGGCTCTGGCTGGGCTGGGATGGCTGCTCCTCGTGGCAGCCTGCATGGCGCTGTGCTTTGCATCGGCGGCTAAGCCAGCGTCGGTAACGCTCCGCTGTTTTGGCTGCTGCTGAGCTGTGTTTGCAAAGGATCAAGGCTTTCTCTGCCCCAGGCCCCCCTAAGCGAGTAGGCTGGGGGTGAGCGAGGGCGTATCTTGTCCACGGGCCATAAGCCCCTGCAGGATACGCTTACAGGCACAGACTGAAGTGATGGTGTTTCTGGTGGGGGGGAACCTCCACATTTGAAATCTTGGTATGCTGAGATACTTAATGAACTGACTGTGTGAAGTTCTTGTTACAGAGTCTCATTCAGTCTTAGAAAGCTTTAAAATGACTGATTTATCTCACTGACTTGCTGTGGAATTGGATTATTAGACATAATACTGGTGTTTTCCTTGGCCGTCTGCTCCAACTGTTTAATTCAAAGGAAAGGTAATAGAAATAAGCATAACCAAAACGTGTTACAACAGAACAGTCATCGATGTTACGAAAAGCTTTACTGTAATCCACTTACTCTAAGTGGATTTGCAACCCTCTTGTAACTGGGAGTTGTTCCTCTTTGTAATAACATACAGTCTAAAAACCTAAGTAAGTGAGCCCCAGTGTTGTAAGCGCCGGGGAGGTCAGGCCTTGCCTAAGGTGGCTTGCAGTCTTTCAGGCAGGACAAAGACCGGATGCTCAGAGGGCTGGAGCACCTCTCCTATGATGAAAGGCTGCAAGAATTGGGCTTGTTCAGCCTGGAGAAGAGGAGGCTCCGAGGAGACCTCATTGCAGCTTTCCAGTATCTGAAGGGGGCCTACAAGGGTACTGGGAGAGGACTTTTTACAAGAGCCTGTAGTGACAGGACAAGGGGTAATGGGTTTAAACTGAAAGCGGGGAGATTTAGATTAGATATCAGGAAGAAATTCTTCCCGGAGAGGGTGGTGAGGCACTGGAACAGGTTGCCCAGAGAAGCTGTGGATGCCCCATCCCTGGAAGTGTTCAAGGCCAGGCTGGATAAGGCTTTGAGCAACCTGGTCTAGTGGAAGGTGTCCCTGCCCATGGCAGGGGGGTTGGAACTGTATGGTCTTTAAGGTCCCTTCCAACCCAAACCATCCTATGATTCTATGAGAAGGGGAATCACAGTGGCTCATAGTTTTGCAGCTAAGCACAGTGCAGATGGGAGCCCTCATCTCAGGTCAGCTTACAAGGAACAACAAGCAAGATGTATTTTTTAATTGTAGTGCCACTGTCATAGTCACTTGAGGTCATTTTGGGTCTGGATAAGATTTTTCAAGAATAAGGTGCTACACAAATCTAAAATGTTAGTGAAACATTCTGTGTTTCTAGAAAGGACAGTATGGTTATATCCCAAATGGCAAGGAAGTGGAGGCTGTGCAGCAGGTTCCAAAGGCTGGAATTCCTTGAATTCCTGGAATCCCCTCCAAAAGAGGGAATAAGGTCTTGCAGTCAACAGAATACTTAAGCTTCTGGCGTGGTGAATTGTGAAATGTTAGTACATATGAATGTCCAGGGGAAGGTTCTTTTGAGTTGAGGCTGGTGATTAGCCCTAGGGCCATGACAGGAAGTTGACTGGGATGCTGATGACAAGGTGCAAAGAGGATGTACCTCCATGTGTGCTCAAGAACAGGGTCCTGCACATCTTGGAGATGATATTTGCATTTGTGGGGTTGAGGTGTAAATTGTATGGAATGTCTACTAATATATCCAATACTGACAAGCCCTTGAGGTGAAGAATACTCCTATCCTTCCATCAGTCCTATGAAAATTATTTAAGAATGGATCAGAGTAAAGGCAGCTTGTGATACCTCTGCTTCTGGTTCTTGAACCTTTTGGAAGAGTGTTGTCAAGCATATTCATACAGCTACAAAAATGAGAAACCTAGCTACTTAAAAAAAACCAAACCCACTAACCTTTGACTTTTAACACTCTATGAAAAGCAATAAAACCTGGGAAAACCTCTGAATTCCCAGTATTCTCATATTGCAGGAGTTGGCCACAGGGACTTAGGTGGTGTGCTTCTGTTAGCACAGGGAGTAAGGGGGTCGGCTTTCTCCCAGGCGTGTCCCTTTTCACCTATAGCCTGATGTATTGCTTCTGGCTGAGATGGAGTTGATTTCCCCCCTAGCAGCCCTAGAAGGGTGTTGGTAGCACTCCAGTGTTTTGGCCACCGCTGAGCATTGTTCGCACAGCATCCAGGATTTCTCTCCAACGTTCCCCCCTCACAAGTGGGCAAGGTCTTGGGAGGGGACACAGCCAGGACAGCTGACTCAAACTGACCAAAGCGATATTCCATACCATATGACGTCTGCTCAGCAATAAAAGCTAAGAGAAAGTGGGGTGGGCAGGGGGAACGGGACATTCCTTATTTACAAGGTTTGTCTGACAGAGCAACCACTACCCGTACTGGAGCCCTGCTTCCCGGGAAGTGACTGGACATCGCCTGCTGATGGGAAGTAGAGCATAAATCTTTTGTTTTCCTTTGCTTCTGCATGTGGCCTTTGCTATTTGCTGTGTTTATTATTACCTTGACCCACAAGTGGTTTTTTTTAAATTTCATTCCTCCCCCAGCCCTGCTGCTTGGTGGGCACCTGACATCCAGCCAAAGTCACACCCCCACCCCCCTCCAGTTACAGCAATCTAGGGACACTGGTTCCCATCCTCATTGCGTTCTTCTGTGATTAGCATTTACAGAATGTTTTCAGTCATTCTTATTGCCAAAGCTTTTCTGATGTTCATCTGGAAGAAATTTTGTGATACCTTCCTGTGTCGCCAAAGATTATCAGAAATAAGCGGTTTCTACTAGTTTTAAGTGATCATGGTTTCCTCAGCTTGTTGGTAAATGGAGAGAAGCACGTGAGTTCTTAACTTTGGTATTTGCTGGGATCTCTTGCTTCAGTAAATTCACAGGTTTTGGTA